CCCCCCCCCCCCCCCCCCCCCCCCCCCCCCCTCGCCAACTGCCATACACTCGCGCACCACACATCTGCCCGCCGCCGCCACCGCCACCGCCGCTACCGCGATCACCACCATGTCGGAGGCCCCGCACCTTGGGTTTGCCTCGCCGGCGCGTCCAAACGTGCCGATGCCAGCCCCGGGCCCGAACTCGCCAGCGATGCCCGGCGCCGAGGCCTGGTCGCCTGGGTCGCCCTCGGCGGCGCTGGCCATGTCCATGTTCTCGATGCCCGGGCGCACGCCGAGCACCGAGCCGGCCCTGGCGACGCCGGCGCCGGGCGGCTTTTCCGCGCCGAGTCCCGGGCTGGGACCCGCATCGCCGGGGCCCAGCGCGTCGACCCTGCGCGGGGCCGCCCTGCACCCGGGCTTCGGAGAGCCGGATGACCTGTTCCCGCCGACGCCGTCGCGGCCCGGGTCCGGGGTGTCGGCCACGGGCCCGGGCGTCGCCAGCCCGGCGGCCGACGTGCTCACGCCCACAGCCCCGGCTGTCGCGGCCCAGGGGGATGTCATTCCCGGTGATGCGGTGGGGGCCCTTTGCCGTGCCCTGCGGCATGAGGTTCTTCCGCGCCTGGCCGGGCGCTCGGTGGCCGTCCAATCGACCGATCCCCTGGTGGCGCTGGCCGTGCGGACGGCGCTGGCGGCGCCGGCCGGCGGGGCCTCGGAGTCCGGGCCCGAGCCACACTCGCGCCCGGCGTCCGGTGCCCTGGAGGGCCTCACCGTTGAGGACCATGTTGCCATCGGGTGCGCGAAGCCACATGAGCACACACACACACACACACGCACACACACACACGCACACGCGCATGCATGCACAATGGGCTGTGTGCGCCGCGGTCTCGAGCGCGCGCGCGCGCGCGCGCGCGCCACCGACCTCTGACCCGTCTGTTCCCCCCCCCCCCACCCCCCCAACAAACAGAGCTCTCTCTCGGATGCTGATCCACTCGGCGCGCGAGGGCCAGGGCAACAGTTGCCTGGTGACCGGGTCCTCCGCGTCGGGCAAAACCCGCGTCATCGAGTATGCGCTGGCGGCACTGCGGCTGGCCTGCCGAGCGGGCTTCGACCCGAACCGGCTGTCCGAGTGCCTGGAGGGGCCGGAAGGTGCGGCACCGCGTCTGGTCCGGCTGTCGGGCCTGGCGGCGGTCGACGAGCGGGCCGCCCTCTTTGACATCGCGCGGCAGCTGAGTGCCGAGGATGCCCTGGCGGCGCGGCTGGAGCAGGCCCCGGCTCGGGCACATGCCGCCGGGCCTGGCGACATCTCGGACGAGGAGGATGACGAGGAGGCCGCCGGGTCGGGCGGCCGGCGGTCCAGCCGCGAGGCGGCCTCCGCCGGCCGGCGTCTCGACGTGGCCGATGCCCTGAATGCCGTGCTGGCCACCCTGCGCGTGGGCGCCGGGGCTGGGCCCTCGGGCCCGGTGGCCACGCCGGCCGGCGGCGGGGCCACCCCGCCGGTGGTCTTTGTCCTGGACCATGTGGAGTATTTGGTGTCGGGGCGCCATGGCCGGCAGGCGCTCCTGTACAGCCTGCTGGAGCTGACCATCGCCCTGACCGAGCGCCCGGTGCTGCTGGTGGCGGCCACCTCGCAGTCGGATGTGCTGGAGTCGCTGGAAAAGCGAGTCCGGTCGCGCTTTTCCAACACCCTCATCCGGGTGGACCCGCCGCACCCGGCCGAGCGACTGGCGGACATGCTCTTCATCCATGGGCACTGGGGCCCGGACCCGGCCGGGGCCCTTGGCGCTTGGAATGCCCAGGTGGAGCGCCTGGCCGCTCGGCTGGATTGGGCCTTGGAGGAGGTGGTCGGCGATGCGCGGGACTTGACCCGGGCCGCGGCCAACCTGGTGGCCGCCGGCCTGGCCGAGCTGCAGGAGGCGGCCCGGCGCCCGGAGCCCCCCGGCCCCGTGGCCATCGGGCCCTTGCTGTCACCCGAGGAGCTCCGGCGCCAGTGCCGGCGACAGGCCCACGCTCGCAGCACCCCGGCCCGCTTGCAAGACCTGTCCGTCCTCCAGCTGGCCCTGCTGGTGGCCTCCTTCCGGTTGCCGTTCTACACGACGGCCACCCACTCGGCCGGGGCCGCGCACAAGATCCGCGGTGGCCGCGGCGCGGCCGGGTCCCTGAGCAGTTCGGATGGCGCCCTGCTGGCCGGGAGCACGCTCTCCGGCGAGCCATGGCCCGTCTTCAATTTCGACATGGTGCACCATACCTACACGCAGTTTGCCCTGCGCCAAACTTCCCACCACACGGACGTCTACAGCCGGCCGGTGTGTCAAAAGGCCTTCGCCGACTTGGTGGCCCTGGAGCTGGTCATCCCGGCGGTCGGGGCTTCCGGCAATGTGGTCAATTCCGGGGCGGCCGGGTCGATGATGGTCCGCTCGGCCATCAGCGAGGCCGACCTGCAGGCGGCCATCCGCACGCGCCCCGAATGCCCGGTCATGCTGCGGCTGTTTGCCGGGGTGTGAGAGGGTGGCTTGGCGTCGGTCCTTGCGGCGGGGAGGGCCTGCCGCCCGGCTGCTGGGCCCCGGCCACCGCAGACACCGGCACACGCATATACATATATATACACACACACACAGGAATGGACCTCACACCCACATGTGTGCTCGCCTCTCACGGGCGGGATGTTGGGCGCGCGGCCGGGCGAGGGCAGGTGGTGGACCGTGAACCAGGGCGGCAGAGGGGGAGGATGTGGCAGCCCACATTTGCATCGGTCCGGGAATCACAGCCGCGCAGCCCGCGGCCTCACCCGGGCGCGCTCGACCTCCCCCCCCCGCCCCCTTGGTAGATGGGTGACCGGGAGATCGTGGGGCTCGCAGATAGCTCCCAACGATCCGACGTCGATCGTCGCCCCGGCGGGTGTCCCCTCTCCCAGCCTCTGGCCGGCCCCTTTCAAGATCGGCCCCGGCGGGCATGGGCGTCCCACAAGCACATGCACCTGCTCCTCCGCCCCCCGCCCTCCCCCCCCCCCCCCACACACACACGCATACATACGCGCCGCCGCCCCCCGCCACGTCGACTATCTCGCCACACATCGCGTCCTGGAGAGGACATGTCGCTGCGCCACTTTCTCGGCCTCGAGCCGGATGACCCGGAGCCCGGGGCCCGGCCCGCGGTGACGGTTGTTTCGTCTGCCAACTTCTTCTCCGATTCCGACCAGGCGCTCACGGACGAGGAAGAGGCCGGCGACGAGGCCCACCACAGTGGCGGCCCTCAGGGCGATGACCCCGCCACCACCGAGGCCGATGCGCAAGCACTCGCACACACGCGCGCCCTGCTGGCACAGCTGTTTGCCGGGCAGGTCGTGGGGCCCGGCGGCCCGGGCCGCGAGTCGGCCTTCGTGGCCGGCCTCGCGCTGGCGGCCCTCCTCCCCCGGGGGTTCCTCTCCTCGCCGGCGCCATCCGGCCAGGCCGCCAAGCCATCGGGACTGCTGGATTACCCCGGCCAGGGTGGGGCTCCTGCGCAGGGCTTCTGGACGGTGGCCCGGCTGAATGCCGAGGTGGGTGGGATCGCCAGGCGCCGTGCCGGCCAGTCCGACGCCGCCACTCGGATCCGCTTCGGCGAGGGGGCTCTCTCGGAGGCGGCTCTCCGCTTCCCGGACGGCCCGGTGCCCCGGCCCGGTGTCACCCTCTCGCCGGACTCCCACCACCATTCGGGGGAGACCTTTCGCAATCGCGTACGACCCCATCTGGGAGATCCCTCCCCCGGTCGACCCGGGGCGGGAGTGCACGCGCGCTTGCACACACACACACGCACGCACACACACACACACACACACACACACACACGCACACACACACGCACACATGCAGGCATCCTCACTCACTCCCGCGCTCGCTCGCCTTCCCTCATCTGGCCGGTGCTCCCTTCGGCCATTCTGCGCGCTCTGCGCAAAGATGCTGGCCAATGTGCTGCTGTTCCTGAAACGCCATCTGGCCACCTGCCCAGCCGACCAGGCCGTCTGGCTGTGTGATGTGCTGGCCTGCGCTCTCCGCGGCGCGGTCACGGCCGAACTGTGGGCCGACGCCCTGGCCGCGGTAGATGCCTGGGGCCGGCCGACCGTCGGCCCCGATCCCAGCCCTGGGCCGTCCACCGGCCCCGAGGCCGAGGAGGCCGCCTGGCAGTTGGCTCTCGATGAGCGGCTCCTCCGCGAGGGGGACGCCCTGGCCCTGCTGCTGGACATGATGCAGGCGGTGCTGGAGCGGGTGCGCTCTGGTCCGGCCGATCCGGCGTACTGGACGCCGGTGCTCGTGCGGCTGATGGCCGCCTGCGCGCCCTTCCTCGCCCGGCCACTGGGCCTGGCTGAGGGCCTCATCCCGCCGTCCGTCCTGGCGATTGGGGACTTCCCCTGGGCCGGGCGCGTGCCCGGGTGGAAGCGCACGGCCCTGGCCGAGGCCCTGGCCGGCGCGGCACATGGCCTTCCCCCCGTCGACATGGCTGCCGAGGGGGGCCCCGGCCAGTCGGCCACCCTGGAGGCCGTGGCCGCGGTGGGTCTCCTGCGAGGGGCATGCATGCGGGCCGCGACGCTGGCCCGCTCCCTGGCCGGGCCCCAGAGGTCGGATCTGGTTCAGCTGGACCCGCTGCTGGTGGCCGGGATTCTGTGGGCCACGCACACGGTCCGACGGGGGGAAGCGGCCGGCAGCGGGGAGCTCCCCCCCGGCACCGGGGTCATTGGGCCCGGGGCTGCGCATGCCCTGGCCATTGACACTGGCCGGCTGGCGCTCCTGCTGCTGGAGGACCACACCCCGATGGTCCAGCTGACCGGGGCCGCCGTGTTGCTGGGGCTCTTCGGCCCGCGGGAGTACTTCCACCCGGCCGCCCCGGATGCCGGGCTCAGCCACCGGCTGTATGACCGGCTTGAGCCTGTGTGGCATGGGGTCCGGCTGGAGCGCGCCGGGCGCCTGGCGGCTTTGGAGGATTCCGGGCTCGGGGCCCTGCTCCAGGCGCGCCTTTGCCAGGCGCTGACGAACTTCTCCGATGCCGGGGGCGTCGGGCCCGGGGGGCTGGCCGAGCGGCTGGTTCTCCTGGCGGCCATTCGGTCTGTGGGGGCCGGGAATCTGCCCGTCCGGTCGGTTGGCGTGAGCCTGGCCCCCGGGGCCGATGAGGCCGGCATCGGGGACCTGGCGCCCGAGGAGCTGGCCATGCGTCTCGACCCGGCTGCCCTGGCGGCGGCCGTCCACCATGCCAGCTCGCCGCCGGTGGTGGCCGCGGTCGAGCCGGTCCTGCTGGCCTTCAGCACCCTCCTTCGGCAGGCGGCCCACGAGCCGCGCCTTCCCCGGCGCCTGGTACGTGCCGCGTGACACCCGGCCTCCCGGCCATCTCTTTGCCCTCCCTCGAGCAAGATGGCAAGAGGCTGCGCCCTTTCCCCCCTGCGTGCTCTCTCTCTCTCTCCCTCGGTCTCTTCTAACACGCATGGCTGCGCCCGTCAAACGCCCGCCTGGGGGGGGGGCGTGAAAATGGACAGGTGTACATTCAGATTATCTCCCGGTTTATGACGGTGGTCGGGCCGTTCAAGTGCATGACCGACATCGAGGTGCGCGGCCTCTGCCCGCTGGCTGCTTGTCCGCCCGGTCGCCCGGCTAACTGTCCCTTCTTTTGTTTCCCCCCCCCCCTCTGGGGCCTCGAGCAGCTCCTGGTCACCATCATGTCGGAGTACTTCCCGACCATGAGCGTGCGGTCAGGCGAGGAGGATGGCCTGTATGTCGGTGCATCGGCTGCCACCGGGCATGGCGCGCTCGGCCGCGCGGTGCTCGAGGAGTTTGTCCCGCAGTTCCTGCGGTCGTGCTGGCCGCGTCTTGGTGGGGTGCCAATCCGGCAGCCAGTCCTGACGGACGCCGCGGTGGCCGCCTCGCCCGTTGGCCAAGTGTACACGGCGCTCGGCGGGGGAGGGCCTCTCATGCGTCCCCTCCGGTCGAAGGGGTCCGAGCGTCTGACCGCCGCACTGATTGAGTACTATTGCCGGGCCTTCCTTTGCGGTATGCCTTTTCATCCTGCCCGTCCTGCGCCTGGGCCTCGCCCTCTCTCTCTCTCTTGCTCTCACTTGGCCTGCTGTGCCGCACCTGCACGCGTCTGTGGATGGACCCCCCCCCCCCCCCCGCCAGGCACTGACCTCATTGGCACAAAAAAAAACACCTGCACGCAAACACGCACGCGTGCACATCTGTCTCTGCAAATACATGGCCGGACACCTCAAAGAATTCGACGACTCCCCCGAGTGGCGCCGGCAGGTGGCCATCTCCTACCAGCGGGACGTGCGGCCACTCCTACATCCGGACATCGTGCAGGTACATGCATGCTACACGCGCAGACAGACACACGCATGGATATGCATATTTGCTTGTTTGCTTGGATGGACACACCCAAACACGCACCCGGGTGGACCGGGGCTGGCGCTCTCTCCTTGTTCCCCCTGCCCCGGCTCTCTGGCTGGTGCTGACCTCTTTCTCTCTCTCACACACACACACACACATACATACAAACATACATGTCTTCTTCCCCCCCCCCCCCACCTTGATCATGCCAGGCGCATGAGCGGGAAATCGTCCGCCTTGAGTCGGATCTTGCTCTGCTGTTTTACGGACTCGACGAGTAGCACCCAGCCATGCCCCATGCTCCCAGCCCTGCCTCTCTCTCTCTCTCTCTCTCTCTCTCTCCCGTGAGCTAACTGGCTAACTTGCGAACTCCTTCCTCCTGCAGGAGGAATGGCGAATACACCAGCAGCCCTCAGACACATGCGCGTGGGGGGGGGGGGGGGGACACATCAGCAGGTCCATTCGGCCGGACACGGCTTGGGAGGGGGAAGGGGGAGCGGAGGCCTATTTCAGAGGCGGGGTCGCCAGGTCGATGTTGGCTTGGCGCGCGACGGCCTCGCACTCGGCCAACTGCCGGCGCAGGCGCAGCAGCGGCTCGCGGCCCTCCCGGATGATGACATCGTTCAGGAAGGCCTCCTGCTTGTCCAGGGCCTGGACTCGCCGGCGGAGAGCATGGAGATGCTCCGGCCGGAAGGCCGGCAGCCCGGGATCCCGATCGAGGGGCTGCCGGCTGGTCGATTGCCGAGCGCGGTAGATCAGCTCGGCCTCGATGCACAGGAAGTCCTCGCGCGCGGCCATGCCTTCGCAGGTTTCCGAGAGGGCACGGCCGACACGCACGAGGGCTGCCACGGCGGCTTCCACATCCGCACGACCAACCGGACGCGGATTGATGCGCGCATTGCGGCCCGGCGCTGTTGCCTCCCCGGGACCCGGGTCCCCGGGCGCTTCCGGTGGCGACAAGACCCCCAGCAGCCCGGCGAAGGCCTCATGGAAGGCGGCCAGCTGGCGCCAAGATCGCTCAAGCAGGAGCTGCGCCGGTTCCCCGGCCGGGGGGGATGCTGAGCTGTCCATGGTGAGGGGGCACCCGGGGCGGAGGGGAGAAAAGGAAATGTGCGGCGAAAGGGGCGGGGGGACGAGGGGGGGGGGGGGGGGTGTGATGGGGTGTGGATGCTTGGCGGCACCGGGAGCATGGCTGTCCTTTGGGTTTCTGCGGGAAGAAAAGCAGCAGCTGAATCCTGTCTCGTGGCATGCGTGGGGGGGGGGGGGGGGGGGGGGGGGGGGGGGGGGGGGGGGGCGGCAAAGAGCCGGGCAGAGGCTGGGGAAAAAAAGATGGGGGCGGAGGGCGAGAGCGGAGGGCGAGAGTCTGTCGGGATTGGCCCCCGAGCCTGAGGGGCATCCCGCCAACGGGGGGGAGGCGTTTATTCCCGGGGAGGCGGCCCGGATTGAGGTCCCAGCGGACCCGGCGGCCATTTTGGATATCACACAGATTTTAAAAAGGCCCCGTTCCATCATGTGGCATGCCCCGGGCAGATCATGCACTTTGGTGGTCGCCGGGCCGCGCGCGCGCACGCGTGCAGCTCCCTGCCGGCGTTCTCCGGCTCCGTCTCCTCCGCAGGGGGGGGGGGAACAGGGCGTGCGGCGGGACCCCCGGGGGCCGAAGGGCGGCCGCGGGAGGGGCTGGGTCCACCGACAACCCTGGCGTCGGGACACATGCACCAGTAGTCAGGTCCGTGCGCATGTGCTTGCTGCCCGTGCGTGTGTGCGCGCGGGCGCCCGCGCTCGCACGCTCGTGGAGTGCCTGCACGCGCCCTATCGGCCCGCCCTGGTCGCCGGCCCTGCCCCTCAGCAGAGTAAGCCCGAGTGTGGTGCTTACCGAGGGCCGCGGCGAACACGCGCACGGATCACCCCAGACTGACATCAGCGAGCAGAGCCATTCATGCTGGGGCCCGGTCACCGGCCCGGGATTGCCCTCGAAAACGTCTTGGCCCCCACAGCTGCCCGGGCTGCCTCGGCTCCGGTAAACGTGAGCGGCACACTCCCGGACGCTGCCCCCCCCCCCCATTCGGCCTCCCCACCCCCCGGGGGAGGGGCGGGGGGGCAGCGTCCGGGGTCGCTCGGACCGTGCCCCCGCGCAGCCGGGGGAGGGTCGGCCAATTAACGGTCGACGGTGGCGCCATCCGGCCGGGTTCGGTGCACGGATGCCCCTCCGGCTGCCGGTCGAGCGGGGCCTGACCGGGGGGTGGGGCATTTTAAAATGTGCCCGTTGCTTGTGCTGCCCGCGCGCCCTTCTCGTGTGCTTGCGGCGGCCCCCGGGGGCGGCGGCCGAAGAAATGCACTCGCAGGCAGGAGGGCGCCCTGCCTGATCCCGTTGGGAAGGCCCCGCGGCGGGGTGGCCCGCGACGGTCCCGCGCGCCCTTCCTCTCCGGCGCGGCAGCAATCTGGGCCCCTGGTCCCGGCGCCTCCCGCCCCCGGCGGAGGCACTCCATCTAGTGCTTCATCCCGCTTCGCCGCCCCGCCCCCCCCCCCCCCCCTTGGCCGGGGGCTGGAGTGCGTCTGACGAGCCTTGGCAGGGGTTCGCCGAGCCCCTTCATCCTCACGCCCAGAGCCCGGG